CCACCCACCCCCGCCCTCTGCCCCTCACGGGACAGACAGGGTCCCTCGAGAGCTCCACTTTCGCCATTACTGTCAAGTACCCTTGACTCCTTTTCTTTTTGCCCTTTTATCTACAACAACTAATTTGAGTTCCTTTGCCCTTTTCACTTTTAGACGGACGTGAGCGCCTTAAAAAATATTTTCACTTTTCAGAACTAGAATCAGCATAGGCTGTTTTTTTTTTTTTTCTCTTCTTCTTCTTAGAAACTGGGAACTTATAAGTGCATGGAGAGGGTGGACTTTGTTTTGGAAATGAAACTTAGCCCGTTTTGACAGCTGCATCGTGGACCATGTGAGATGTTTCAGCAATATTATCAGCAAGGAGCAAAGCAAGAGAGGGCAGAAATCAATAGTTTGACATGAAATATGACTGCGAACATCCCAATTACATCCTGTTTAGAAGGAATTAATGAGGCAGATCTTGGATACTGATATTGGTCTGTCTTGTGGAGGGGTGGGGTGTTGCTTTATTTTCGAGCTGTCACTACGAAAGTGGACATTTTCTACCAAGAAAAAAAAAGTGTAAATTTTAGTCAGAAATTATAGGTTAAGTGATGAATACAGGTAAGATGTTTCTATAAAATATCTAAAAGTCGTGCATTTTTAGGTAGAAATAAAAAAAAACTGAAACAAAAATTGCTTCTTTTGCATTTCAGTACCTCGGACAGCAACTTTCACCCAACCGCTGTTCTCTGCTTTTTATTTATTTATTTATTTTACGTGAACAAAACGCTCCCATTCACTTTCCTCAGAGAGCAGTGCATTTGTGACTTTTTTTCCCTCTCCTTTTTAATAGTGATTCTCTTTAGCTGAGTCTTAAATAATAATCAGTTACATTTGCATGCGGATATTAAAGAAAGCTCGAACAGAAACAACCCGGTAGATCTCAACATTTCTTCCCCTATATCCCACGTTTTCAAATGATAAGTTAGTCATATCGTCATTGGAATTGTGCGTGCCTTGAAGAAATTAAATTTAAAAAAAATGGTCCGGCTATTTCCCTCCGCTCCTATCCAATGTAACAGTTTTTGGTTCGAAAATAATAATAATTAAGAAAATAATAATAAAAAAAAACATTAGGGGATCATGTTTCTCCACTTGATTTTCAGTCAACAACAAAAGTCTGAAAAGTGTCGTTTGGTTCTGTTAGGAGCAAAAGAGTTTGTTGACAGTTTTTGGGAAGCTCATGTCTTTTGGAGGGTCCTGATGCTGTTGCAAGACTGCCGCATCCAGCATGGCGCCTTTGGTGTTCGTGGTCCAGGACACGGTGCTGTTGTTGCTGCTGCTGCTGCTCAGAGCCTGGCTCAGACCGGAGCTGTGCCTGAACAGGGGGTCGTGGAAAACCCCGTCCACCCAGTTCCTCAGCGTCGTGACCGGCGAGTCCTGCTGCCTGCTGCTGTCCGGGCCGGCCGCTGGGGAGGAGGAGGCGGCGGGGGACGGGGTGAGGGAGGAGGAGGAGGGCGGAGGCGGCGGAGGCTGGCACCGCAGCATGCAGGACGGGTATTCAGTCTGGTTCAGGGACGTGGCGGTCTGGGCCAAACTCCAGATCCGAGGCTTTCCGTCCAACAGCTGGTGCTGCTGCTGCTGCTGCGCGCCGTTATTATTATAACACGACTTGACCTGCTGCTGCCTGCTCTCCGCCTGGAAGTCCTCCGGGTTCGACTTGAGACAACTTTTGCCCAAGTCCTGCTCGAGGGGCACGGGCATGGAGAGCTTCAGAGAGGCGCTCTTGATGAGCTGCTCGGCGGAGCAGTCGGTGGACATGTGCGTGTTCATGTGGTACCGGTGCTTCAGCTCGCACTCAGAGCTCTCAGACTCCAGCGCCTCAAAGTCCTCCAGGTCGCTCAGCTGGAGGTCCTTATCCGTCCGACTTCTGGTCTCTGCAGCACACCAGAAAACAGAAAGAATAAGTCACTGGAATGTACTAGTGTCAAGTGAAAAATAATAATAATAATACTAAATCTGGATTTGATTAAAAATGCATCAATATGTGATGAATTA